AAATGTGTTATACCCCTTGGGACCCACTACCCACCGATTTAGGAGGAAGTTTTGGCCAAGTAAAGGATACCCCATTTAGCTCAATTCTGACCACCAAAAGAAGGGGGGAAAGTGTGCTCTGACATCTCTATGAGATCACAGGCAAAGTAGCATTAAAGTGTTAAAAGTGTTAAGCCTGAAATGTGTTATACCCCTTGGGACCCACTACCCACCGATTTAGGAGGAAGTTTTGGCCAAGTAAAGGATACCCCATTTAGCTCAATTCTGACCACCAAAAGAAGGGGGGAAAGTGTGCTCTGACATCTCTATGAGATCACAGGCAAAGTAGCATTAAAGTGTTAAAAGTGTTAAGCCTGGATAATTCACAAATTTAGGTTACATAACCAAATAACTCTTGCTGCATGTTATAAACTCACAATCCATCATTAAGAAAAAGAAAAAAAAAGAAACGCATTTAAAATATAGTTTGGCATTTTTTTGGTTTTCATTTTATCATTTAGTTTTTATTTTTCTGATAGGGGAACATTTATTCTACTATTGCCTCCTGCTTTTTATGCAAATACTTGAACAAAGGTACAATGACATTACATGTTAAATGGGTTCCTAGGCTTTCATCAACGAATAATGATTCAAAATTTCAACTAATTTTTTTGTAGTTTCTTACTCATTATTCAAATACCTCTAAGGGTTATTCTGTCCCCCTTAAATTATGGGTATTTGCAAAAAAATACCCTCCAAATCTCAATATTTACAAAAATACGCCTCAAATCATCAATTATGGAAAAATTTAACTTCAAAGCAAATAATCATCAATTTTGATAAGTTAATTTGTAATCGGAACATTAAAATTATCAACAAAATAGTCAAACTTTCAGCACCAAGTTGATGATTTGTTGATATTATGGGTATTTTTCACAAAGTTGATGATTTGAGCAGTAGTTTTGCAAGTACTAAGATTTGGGGGGTATTTTTGTAAATAGCCATGATTTAAGGGATATATAGGCAAATGATCCTACCTTTAATCATTTCAAAGTTTTTCATAATATGTTAAAGGAACTCCATTTGACCTCTCTTACCTTTATCCAATTTAAGGATCCTGATTAAATAAATTTTTTTTGTTCATTGCAAAGCTATGAATGGCAATGGAATATAATCGTAATGCAATAGCACTTAGCAGATTGTAGGTTTCTCGTCAAAGTCTTATAGGATTAAACGAATTTTGCCACACAATTTAAAATACAATGTGCGAACTTCTTAGCAGTTTTTCTTCCGTCTGATAAATTAGTTACCCATCATCTATAGTCAATCACCATTATTCCTATCCCAATTAGCCAATGCTGCTCCAAGGCAAGAAAAGTTCCACAAGTTCCGCAGAGATTCTTACAACAGATATCAACATTATGTTACAACTTAGAGTTAACTCCAACTTTTTAAAATATCCACTGTTCATCACAGTGGTTGGATACAAAGTAGTTGATTCCGACATCTAATGGTTGGATATAAAAGTAGTTGATTCCAACATCATTCTTCTGGCAGGTCAGTTGAATAGAAAAGTAGTTGACTCCAACATTGTTCTTCTAACTTACCTGCTTAGGGTTTCTCCTGCCTTACCTGCCTGAGGTTTCTAGTTCTACTAACTTACCCGCCTATGGTTTCTACTAACTTACAAGCAATGTTTTAAATATCGATTCTCAGAAATATATCGGATGGCTAAAATTCATATAGGATCTCAGTTATCGGGATACATTAGGATTAAGTAGTAAAAATCAGAGTGTCATATCAGATGGTGAGCATATATAGTATAATGTTCTAAAATGTAATCTAAGAACATTTAATGCAATATTGAGTCTTCGAGAGAGTTCATCAAAAAAGACCTTTGAGTGAGAAATTTGCGAGTGATTTAGGGGAGAGAACAATGAAGGTGGAGAGAATTAGGGTTACACAATGAGCGGAAGTGAAATATAATAGGATAGCATGGTTTTTGCTTAGTGGATGCGAGTCAAGTACGAAAAAGAATGGTTTTTGCTTCCAAACCCGAACCGGTTCACTTAGAATGTAAATTATAGATAAACGGGCGATTTTTAATCCACGAGAAATCGGCCGCTTTATCGAATTTATACCCATGTATCGGGACAAATCGGCCAAAAATGATATATGATAAATCTTTGTAAAAATCATATCGGCCATGACCCGAACCCTATATATCGGCGATGAATCAATAAAATCGGCTTATTTTTAAAACACTGCTTGCAAACCTAGGGTTTCTATTGGCTTATCCACCATGGGTTTCTACTAGCTGACCCACTTAGGATTTCTTCTAGCTAAGAATGCAATTTTCTAATTCCTGACACCTTCAAGTATTCCATGCAAAGATGACATCACCAAAGCTCTTGCAACTAGTTGTTTTATTCCCATTTATAAAATATTGAACATATCTAATATATATGCTCTGGTTTGAGGGGGTTGTGTTAGATATTATTGGTATTTAGATCTAACAGATATTATAAGATATTATTAGGATATTGTGAGAGGTGAGTAAATATGATTTTATCCCATACCTATTATATAATATCCTCTCAATCTCTATTTGAGAGAGATTAGGGTTAGATAAAATAATAATTGCTTTTTCTATTTCTCTGCAGAAATGAAGAGTTTAAATGCCAAGATAGTAAGGTAAAGTGGGAGTTGCATACCTCCTTCATAGAAACCTCCTTACTTCATGGAGAGACAGATCATTCTGGCACCTTCTCTTCAAATGAAGGTGGACAACATTATTTTCAATTTTTCAACATTTGGAATCTGTTAAGATTAATACTAAGACGTAGAGGCTAAAACCACTATGTCTAAAGTAAAGCGGAAAGAATATCTTGCATAATTGTGAATCAACTTGTGATATGATGGTTAAATCCAAAGTGCTGAAAATTACATCAGAAAATCCAAACTTAATGCATATGACTAAAGAAGTTAGATCCTAAATCCTGTGTTCTGGTCCACCTAGCTATTAAACCTACGTTCAGGCTCAAGAAACGGGATTTTGGGTGTGGTTGTGTTTCTTCTTCTTATTTTAAGGGATGTCTTTCTTATTGGTCTGAAAATTGAACTAAGGCTGCAAAAAGAAAACCAAGACCTGCAGGTTCTGCTTCCTTCTTTTCTCTAGGTGGTGGTGATTGTTTGTTGTTGTTATTGTTGTTGTTCTTGTCGTCAAAAGATGAACAAAACCTAACATAATCCCTAACCTTCTTCTAAAAGAAGCAAGAATCCTCCTAAAGGCTAAAAGGACTTTGATTTCTTTGCATACTGATCCAATATGGTATAAATTAAAAAGAGAAAAATTACACTTCCTATATCATGCTGACAACACCTGGTATCTTGCATTTTGGATGTATGAATAAGTCAATATTTGTAATTTATAACAGTAATTTACAGCATGAACTACAACCCCAATTAGTTAAGGGTTCACCTCATTGTTTTCTGGAGTAGATGGACAGCTAGCAACCTCAGGCAGATGGCAGGGGAAGTAATACTGACAAACAACTGCACTCTTAGACCCTGTAGCATTATCCTCCCACAAGCACTATGATACGCATAAAGAAAAGATAATCAGTAACTCTACCAAGAACATAATAATGACTCGTATGTAATAAACAAGAATGTTGAAAATATTACTAAATCAATGAACATTTGATAATGAAATTTGATGTATGGGGCTAGTTAAAGTTAATATTTCAGAATTTAGCAGCAAAGAGTGAATTTAAGATTTGGATAAACTATACCTGGAGCTTTGAAGGGACAGGATTTTGACTACTAGAAGATACTAGAACATAATTTTGAAGCTTGTATGACACACCATTAATTTGACAAGACTGATAGTAAGTTTTCCCATCTATATCCTGCAGAGCATCACCAAGCCAATGTACGACATCTGAATCTGGCACTGAGTGCTTGTTACAGGCTACGGGTTCATTGTCATTGTTTACGGCTTCATTTGGCGTTAATTCAGACTTCTCTTGAGAGTGTAGTAGAGTATTATTAGACTCAAACTTCAACTCAAGTTGCTTTGCTTCACTGATATTAGGCTTTCCACTAGGAGCTGCTTGACAATTATCTCGGTCATCTAACCTAACATCACTGCCAGTCTTGTCCTGAGATTCTCTCTGTAGCTTAGGTTGCTCTTTTGATTCATCACAATCAAGACTAATAATTTCTTGCTGTTGGTTTGCAAAAACTTCCATATTAATGGGAGATCCAATTTCTTTCGACTTGGTTGGTGCTTCGGACTGATCAGCGGTTAAAGACACAGTGTCCGGTGGGTTTTCAGGACAGGAACGTTCTGATTCAACCTTTTGATCCAATGTAGACTCAGGTGTCGATCTCTCCATGTTGCATGTCAATGATCCATTACTTTTTATGTCTTTATTGGAACTTTCAGGTTCAGAACTAGAAGCAGCACAAACTACAGCAGCTTGTTCAGTTGAGTTACTAACTGAGGTGATTGAAGACAAGTTAGCATCCTTTTTCATTCCAGGTTGAGTATCAGCTGCACATGCTGTCTTTGAATCTCTAGTTAAATCATTTGAGTTAGTCGCTGAACTTGAAGCTTGAGAAAGATGTGACAACGAAGAATTGCCATTGACTACTGGTTTCTGTGGATTAACCTTTGAGGCCAGATTTTGGGTTGTCTTCTCTGAAGAAGCACTAGTTACAGCTGTGTTTGAAGGAGCCTTTTGCGGAGCAATAGTCCTTGTAACTTTACCATACTTGGGCGGGAATGGCTTCCCGTTGCTTGTTATTAAGCATCTTTGGCAGTGCCAGTCTGCTTTAGGAACACCTTCTTTGTTGCCATAAGATTGAAGACAGTTCAAGTGGGTTCCTTTCTCACAAGCATCACAAATTAATAAACTTTCAACATCAGTGATGGTAATTTTGCATACTTGGCAGTTTGTAGGTTGATTTGTGTACTCCGCTGATGGAGGGTTCAAGTTAGGATGGTCAAAAACCTTTGGTTGCAATATCTTTTGCACACTCTTAGAAATGTCATCATGGTTGCTGAAAAAGGAAGGCCCAGTTGCAAACATTACACCCTGTGCAGGTTGATGTCCAATTGGCTGATTTGCTACTGAACTGGGGACTTCAGATGTCTTTGTCCCTTGATTCCTCACGGCTTGACCAAATGCTTGCACATTGCCAACTGCATGAGAACCCGCGGACTTACTGTGGGTATGATCCAGAAAATTATTTGGCTGACCGGGCTTCATAAAAATAGTAGAAGTTGATTGTGATGAAGAATTTGATAAGGTCCTCTCAGTAGTAGCTACATATCAAACATGTACGTATCAGTCTGTATGTATAAGAACTGATTAATGTACGACAATTCCAACAATAGCAACAAAGCCTTTTATCTCAAATTTTTGGGTCAGCTAATAAGAAGTGATTAAACTGATAAGCCCAAATTATTTATTCTCATAGAGCACTTAAAAGTAAACTCGAATGCATATAATCTCAAAGAATATTGAGAACCTAATAAAAACTGACTCCCATGAGAACATATTCTCAAAAGTTCAAGGATAATCATTGCAACTGCACGAAGATCCATACCATAATTGATGCGTATTTTGTTATCATGTTTAATGTGTTTTTATCAGGGTGACTTTCTTCTTTAAAGGATAAATGCAGTAACTGTCGTTTGCACATGTTCACTATGTCCAGGTTAACTGAAGTCTGCCACGGTTAATTCTTCGATTTAACTTTGCTCTGTCTTACTAATTTTATATCTACAGAAAAGGCATAATAATTTTAGTAAAATGTTGAAAAATCCAGTAATATAAAACAAATGGATGGACATAGATGAGTAAGCTTTTCATACAAATAGCACCAAAGAGAAAGTAGAGAAAATCCCAAGATTTATTCTGGTTGCAAAAGAATTACAAGAAAATAGAGAAACCATAAGGCAATACCTTGTAATTGTGCAATATAAGGTGGCCCATTGGGTCGTCCATCAAATCTGAGATGTGTTACTGCATGAGGCTGTGATAACAAAGGAGAGTCTTTTTCAAGATGGCTGGTGGATGATTTTAGGGCAGTGGTGGTGAGCTGTGAGTCACTGACATGTGACTGCTTCAATGAGGAGGTTATGGAGTTTGTAGCTGAAACATGTACTCCAGGGGAAACACTACGAAAGCCTCCAGCAGAAAATACCATAGGGCTCTTAGAAGATGATCCATGCGTCAAAGTACCATGGGACTCTCCCAGAGGATGTTGAGAAGAACAAGCAATAGTCTTGGATTCTTCCATCTACGGACCAAATAATAACACAAGATATCATCACCTCTGAACTTCTACTCATTAAAATACTAAAATCTGAAATGTACACAAATAATAGAGATTCTACAAGGGAGTTATAGAAAGAATATATATTTAATCTTTCATAAAGCAGCCAAAAACTTACTGCAGAAATGCAGTTCTGATTGTGGAACCACTTGCATATAGAACAAATAATGCCAAACAATTTTTTTTTTCAAAACAAAGCCAAAAATAAAAAACAGATATTCACCAGAAAGGGAAAAAAACAGGGTAAGAAGACATGAATGTGAAGTAATGAAGATAGGGGCAGAAAAGTTTTGGCAGGTTAAGGAGTATATCACTCCAAGAGAACATGAATGTGCATAAATCTGAAATATGAAATTGGATAAAATTTCTCATTCGCTAGTTAAAGTGCAGTTTTCACCAGAAACAAGGAACTTATCCTGATTTGTTAAAAAAAAGAGTGATGTTTACAAGGATTGCACCTTATAGTAAAACAAGATTTCAAGAATTGATGAAGCATGTGTGAGCTGTGCAATGTCTAACACTGTACTAGGTATGTAACTCCAATGAGCATCAACAATCAACAATTTAAACCAACGAAAGAGAACTAAAAAGAATATCTCGACAACAAAAAAGAAGGCACTGCCACAATAATTATACCTTTCTTCCGTTGGCGAACGCATTAATACATCTTTAGAACAAAATTCCCACCAAAATTCACCAAGAAAAAGAAGGAAAATTCCACGAAAAATCCAAATAAACCATACCTTCCTCTTAGTATGCAAGAGCCTCTCTCCAATGGACATCTTACTCGGCCGGAACCCCATCATAGGATCCCTACTCCGATTCAACCCTAGATCCTCAACCAAAACCCTAACCGCCTCCTTGGGGATCAAATCCTTAGGCTTAAACTCCTTCTCACAGATCTCCGTCAGCTTCTCCCTCGCCTCCGCCACCAGCGCCTTCTCCGCCGCCGTAGGATCCTTCCCCCCTCTCATCTCCCCCATCGCCGAGAGAACCATCACGATCTCCGCCACCCGCTTCAGATCTCCGGTCCTCGCCCTCTTCAGCAGAGTCGGATCGTCGCTTCCCTCGTCTCCCATCGAATCGAACCTGAAACAGCGAGAGATTCGAAGAGGAATCCATTAGAGAGAGAAAGCGAAGGGGGAGAAAGAAACCCTAGGGGCGAGAGAGTGAGAGAGAGAGAGAGAGAGAATGAGAGAGAAAGGGAGGGAAAGGGGGTTTAAATACCGGGTAGGCGGGTAAATTAGAGAGAGGGTATATGAGCGAGTGTTTTGTGTTGAGATGGCGGTGAGAGTATGAGATATGGGGAGTTCGCGAGCAGGCGATGAGAGAGGAGAAGGGGGGGCTTAATTCTCTTTTTTCTTCGAGGAATAATAATGATAAAATTGCGGGGGTAAAGTTTTTATTAAAAAGGGAGCGGCGAGGAGAAGTGGAAGGTCTGCTGTTTGGAGACATGTAGGAAATTCGGTGCTTTGCGATACAGTGGATGACACGTGTAAAAGAGCAGATGATTCGGCGTGATTTGCACTGTTGCCTGTTCTTGCATATAGGAATCTTATAGCGAGCCTAAAATTTGACAAGCCCCCGAGCTAATAAGACTGGAGCTGCGTCGGGTTAGATCGAGTGGGATTTGGGCGTGGTTGAAATTTAAGATACTGGGATTTAGTAAAGGATCAATTTAGAATAATATTTTCACTTCTTCTGCTCCAAATTTCATTTATGTACTTTGCATTTTATTATAGAAAATTTGAAAAATAAATATTAAAATTATGAGTTAGAAAATTATATGTGTTATATGGTTAGAAATAACAAAACGAATATGACCCAAAAAAATGAAAGACAAAAATAGCAGAAAGAGAGTTCAAAACAAGAAGGAAAGAAATATATACAAAAGGACATCAAAAACTTTAGTGAAATGTGATTAAAATAATTCAGCCCAATAAAGAAGAAAAAACGTAGTAAAAAACAAAAAACAAAAACAAAAACAAAAATACATGTGACTAACTGCGAACTAAAATTGGAAATTTCAATTAAATAAAAACATAGTTAATGATGATAGGAAAATCTGTAAGTCCTAGTAAATTTAAAATATATGATATAAAATATTTGTATTTTCTACCCCGTCTATCTTTCGATAAAGTTTTAAAGTTAAATTGGTTTGTTCTATGGATAATTAATCTTTTATAAATGCGGGGTGCTAGAATATGATTATAGATCTCATCTCAATACAAGCGAGTTTAACCAGATATCAGCGGAGTCCAACAAGCCTACTAGTTCTTTCACATTATAGAACACATTGGTTTTGTTGCGATCTGTTCTACATATGTCAAACAATATGAGCAAATTTACAGCTCCAACTAAAAAATGAACACATCATCATACATCTCCGAAAATTTTACTATACTAAAAGAAAAACCTACCAAAATTCTTGTAAATGATTACAGTTAACTACAAAAGCATAGTGACTATGTTATTACATCTCATTTTCAGGAGTAAGTGGATTTGAAGCCTTCTGTAAGAGCTACGACCTTCGCAGACACCCTTTTCTGCAGCTTAGACACAGCGTGTCGGATATCCTATCAAGAAGATGATCTCGTTTTAGCAAACCACACACGCATACAAGTACAGTGACACATGATAATGTATTTAGCGAATACTTGCCTCTGTTTTATAACGGGATGAGAAGTGGGTGAGTAAGATGGCCTTGTTGCGAAACCACTGGGAGTGTTCCATAATCTACAAAGTGTGCGAACCTCAGTTCATCAGTTGGAAGTTGCCAATACCAATAACATCATTTTTGGTTTAGGATATCGCGAATATTAAGTCAGCCAATTTTTATCAAATGTACAAGAAAGAAAAAAATTATCAAATTGTGCTTATTTCCTGCAGATCTGGATGTGCATAGAATTTTGAAAGAAAAACTACTAAGTGATCTATCTCTGACAAAAGTAATTTACATTAAGCTCTTCAACAAGTAGTTTTATATAAAACTTTACAAAAGAAGGGTTTACTCAAAGGACGTTTTAGTCCCTAAGGAAATTTGACATACTAGTCTATATTTCCCTTTTGTTAGTAGACCCTCCATTAATTACATTCTTCCATATAGACACCAGAACTAACCTTGGTGCAAGTATCAGAACTAACCCATGGTAACATGGTTATACTACAACTTTATCCGTGCCTAAACATCCCAAGGCCATTTCTTTCAACCCAACCAATTCTTTTAGTCCCAGCCCTGGTCCTCTCAGTAACTTAAACTAGGCTACCAACAGAAAGCTATAAGACAGATAAAACATATAAGAGATTAATGGATGTCGCAATTTTATTCTACACAAAATAGGTAGATGATATAGAGAACCAGTTACCTCAAACAAATGCATATGACCACGTTCCCGTGCTTGCTCAATGTCGCATTCTTCATCTAGAAAAGTTGCCTACAATCACAAACAATAAGACCAGTCAATATTAGGATAGAGCAGTAGATTCACTTGCATGCCATTAAGGTCTATGAGAAATCAAAAGAATGACAAAGGTTATAAGTAGACGTAACCCTTAAAGATTATGAGATACGCAAAAAAAAACTCCCAACCAAACTGCTAATCATCATCACCATCCTCCTCCAAAAAATTAGCTAAGACCCAGACTTAGGCTGACTATGGAGTAGGGAGCAAGATCTGAGAAAGCAAGAGAACTGGCCACTAGCTGTTAACCCGGCTTCAACCATTTTGAATTGGAGAGTCAAGGTAACTATGAACAAGATTGCTTATCATAGTCTTGCCATGATATGGCTAGCTAGTAGATAAAACTAAGATCATTTTATTCAAGTGAATTATCTCAAATATCTAAGGAACAAGTTTCTAAATTTCACTGACATGCAAAGGATCTCACAAAATAGGTTAGATAACACTTTTTGCAAAATATAGAACTACATTATCTCTAAGGCAAGGTTTTAACCGAATGATCCAAATGGGATCACACTCCCAATGCAAATTGTAAACTGTCATGTAATGCAAATCAACATTACTATCTGGCAAAACTTTTGGATAATCTTCTAGAAATTAAGCAGTACAATAGTTTCCCTATATGCAAAAACTAAATGCTAACATGAGTATCCATGTTTTCACGGGGAAAGCAAAGGGGTGGAGGAAATAGTGAGGATAGGAGGGCAAAAGGGAGAAGAGAGGAAAAACCTCAGTGATAAGAACTTTTGCTCTTAGGGCATCTGCATTTCGTGGCTCCTGTATGAAATCAGACATCGTATCTCCTGTAAATGCAACCTCTGGAGACAATATTGTGTCTGTAATCTAACAACAAACACAAAATCAATTGGCCAATTACAACTTAGTACATAAACCTAAGCATTAGCTCCTAAAGCAGGTTTTATTACAAACCTCAACGCCTGAAACCTTTAGTTTCTTAATCTGAGGACCCTTTAAGTGAGCATACTGCTTTTTTAACTTCTTTCTCACTGAGTAAATTACATAACCCTGAATCAAATGGGAGAATTTCTCAAATATCAACATAGAATAACTGAACTATTGCTGACATTATTTTAGGAAAAACAACAGATTTAATAAACAGTACCTGGCTAGGTATGACATGGTGAGTTCTAAATGGTCTGACAACAAGGTCATTCCGTATTTCATAAGTCTCCCCTGGAATAAAGAAGGAAATATGTAGTGACTACAGGATAAATCCTAAAGGAAAAAATATATATCAATGAAAATATAGCAACCATACCCACATCAAGCGCAACTAAATCATGTTTCAGCTCATCCTTGCTCATGGATCGATGGACCTCAAATAGCTTCTCAACATCCGCTTTAATGCTTGGCGGAACAAATATCGTTGGTGGTTTTAAGCTGTATAATGCACGAGTTCCTACATACATTGGAAGACCTCCCTGCAACCAATATATTTGTGTTTATCCATTTAACACATTTACAGGTACAATAGTAGTAACACCAGGAAAATATCATAAACTACATAACTAGTAAATCTTTAAAGGATGATACAAGTATAGATCCCGTCTCAAAAACCCACTGCCTAAAGTGTAAAGGACTAAGATTTTTTTTTCTGAGTGGACAAGCCTGTGTGAGAGT